ATTGTCCCACAAGGGGAAATTAGTTTAGCAGCAGGAGGATAAGAACAAACAGAACAATACTATAAAACAATAATAACAATAATAATGATAGAAAATTCAAGGACAATTATTTGCCATTAAGGAGACAAGACGCAGTAGGGATAAAAGAGACCTGGAGTCTTTTAGTCCTCCTCGGAGGTACTCTAAAACACCACATTGATGGTGATTGTTTTTGTACAGAGTCACCTGCAGTATCAAGACATATTGAGACCTTCCATAAAAAGATGCTTTCTGAGTCTTTTTATTATTATTCTTTTGGCTTCTCCCTTCAGGGTTCTGCAACCGCATAATCCCCAGGGATAATTAAAGTATTCTCATTCTGAATTTTCTCTGCAGTCTTTTTCTCCTTCCTGGCAGCTCCTTATTGCATATCTGTAATCCAGTTTACCTACTACTCCTCCTCTGCACATGTCCAGAGGAGGAGTCTCAACTAGGGGTGGGTTTCGATAATTGAATTTCCAATTAAAATCAGAAAATTAAAATTTTAGCTTGAATAAAGTGATATTGATTCATTAAATCCTGAATCAACTTTTAAATATACATGTATTTTGCCAGAAATGCCAGAATCTCAGGTTAAAACTCACAAAACTATTTCAACAACCACCAAACAGCTAAAAAAGCAAGTGAGAGTAGGTAAATGGATTCCACACAAAGATGTAAACACAATGCGCAGAGCCGATGCTTCAGAATCTGTGAGATGTCGGCTTTCTCACCCACTGGGGCTGAAAGCTGAGAGCTCACACCTTCTGAAGCTGCAGGTTTTGTCACTCTCCAAACTAAATTGACTGGCAGCAAAAGAAGATCAAAACTATGCTTCACGTTTCATAAACATCGCCATTAATTCGCTCTGACTTTTGCTGTTTTGCTTCCACCACAATAAAATCACAATTCCTGCACAGCTCTCTCTCTCTTGCTCTCTCTCAGTGTACTTCAAGAACAGTTTCCCATTACACACCAGTCTACCA